ACAGGCATTCTAACTGGTCATTGCCAAGTACGGAAGCATCTCCATATCATGGGGCTGTCAGAATCCGCACTCTGCAGAGGATGCGAACAAGAAGATGAGACCATCGAGCATATCCTTTACGATTGCCCAACGCTCTCATTTATTAGAAGATTTGTGTTCGGCGAGTATCGGCTAACACCGGCCGATATAAGAGAAGCACCTCTTGGCGACGTTGTCAACTACATTAAATCTGTAGGCTGGCTGACGAGCTAGGAGGTGCCTATCATCTTAGGAGGATGCACAATGGGCCTAATGAGGCCTAAGTGCCGTGGGGGTAACCCATCCTCCACACGTTACAGATACAGATACTGTTACTTTGTTGAAATGTTGCTTTAAATCTGCATCTAATTCAGAACTAAAATCTATCAATTCTCGGAACACTCCTTTATTTTTGGATTCTTCGGTTTCATTATGTCCGCGCAATGCTAATTCTAATGCAGTTAATAATGATGTTTAAAATATATCTGTTTTTATCAACTTGTTTATTGTTGGTAATAATATTTTGTCTATAAGCCGAATTATATATATCAGTATATTTGATTTTCCAAAAAAGGAATAACTAAAAATATTTACATGGGCCTTACTGTTTTCATGTATTTTAATTTTCTCATAAAACAAAAAATGCGTTTTTTTCATCACATTCACAAATCCAGTTATTTTTTAAGTACAAATTCCGGTTAAACTTTCTTATCCGGCCTTTGAAGTTTGACGAACTTAAGGTGGAAGCCTTCTGCGTTTTTGTTATTTCCAAATCGGGAAGAGTTCTCCCAAGTTCCTTTATTTGGATTTTTTCCTCGAGCGAGCGCGTAGAAAAAGGTTTCAGTAACAGATTGCTTATTTTATTCATTTTGCTTCGGACTCTCGGACGATTTTTAATTTATTATACTTTAAAAACTCAACTATTCTAACTACCTAACAAATAAAAATTCAGCACGCATAAAATGTCAAAAGCAATACGCCGAACTCGCCGAACACGCGATTGAAACAATACTATTCTAACTATTCATTCCGAGCCGCTTGAAACGTGGCCCCGTTTGAATGTATAAGAAGCGCTTTCTACAGGCGAATGGCGTGACATTTAGTAAACTTTTACAATGGATTGATATATAAGCAGCCGGGCCACTGGTCGATGTGCTCGGATAGACGGCAGACAGTCAACTACTTGAATTATTAAATTTATTGTGTCCAGGAATAATACGACGCAAGTTTTTTCAACGGAACCAAATTAAATAATGATAAATAATTTACATAATGTATCGTTTAGCCATAATTTGATCCGACAATTATAATAATTATTGTAATTAATATAAAAAGAAATATTTACAAATTTTGCGCCAGTGCCAAGGCCCTTTGGCCCCTTAGGACAAGCCGCCACTGCGGTTTACTACAAAATAAAAAAATATCACAGGTAATTTTTAACTCTTCCAGATAATAATTTTCAGATAAATAGTTCAGCTTAAGCTATTTTCTCAGTTCATGTTTATACAAGAAACAAACCAAGGCTAACTAGATACCAATACACCCTCGTATCTGTTACATTGCAAGAAAAAATAGCCAGTGATTGTAAAATCGCTATTGTTATATACATACACTAGTTCATAAAAAATGATGTCATGAAATAAATATAAAACAAATAACAAGTTAGGTAATTAATGAATTCGCTTTTCCACTCGTTTGTATTTGTTTCCACACCTGCCTAGAACAGATGCGGTTCCAGTCAGTAGGTTCGTAAATAAGTAATGTTTTTAGCCAAATACACCATCAAAATAAAAAGCTTGAAAAATTTGGACATATCAGGGGATTAAAAAATCGTTTGCTTGGCCTAATCAACCTGTAAAAGAAGTTTCTTGACTGAATACGTAATATTAAAAATTAGACCCTTATAATGTTAAAGAATTATGCGTACTTAGAATACACGGAAAGCACGTTAAAAAGAAAAAAGATTTCAATTTTTTTTTTAACTTAATTGAAAAATAATTTAAAAGAAAATATAAGCGCAAATTTTAACAGCCTACTTTTTATATTTCTTATATTAAAGTGAGACATTTAACATTTAACGAATGCATAAACATTATTCGAAATTAAGCGGACATGAACCTGTCTGTATTATCTGAAGTTGGCAGGGTCTGATTAAGACTTATTTGACCGCTCTGTGAAGCAGCAAATGTGGAAAACTTCAATAAAATACTAAGATTCTCTTTAGAAAAATCTTTTAATGTCACAATAATATTTGTTATTTAAAGTTACTATATAACGTCCTCATTCCAGAGAGAGACGAATGGAGCAAAGATGAAAAAACCCTCTCCCAGGCAGACTATGCGTTGTACATGGACGGCTATAAAACTGAAAAAGGAGTAGGAGCGGGAGTTTTCGGCCAGAGGCCTAGATTTGACATATCAATAAACCTAGGCTCTCTGGCCACGATCTTCCAAGCAGAAATGATTGCTATAGAATTGGGAGCGAGAGAGTTCATTAATCTTCTCCCCGCAAACAAGTCCTTAAGGCCCTGAGCTCCAATCGAGTTGACTCAAAGCTGGTTTGGAACTGTATAAATACCCTAGAGTGTCTCGGTGTCCGGAACAAAGTTACTTTGATCTGGGTTCCGGGATACAGCGGTGTGGAGGGCAACGAAAAAGCCGACGCACTTGCTAAAAGAGGAACGGAATCTGTGTTCATAGGACCAGAATCATTCCTGGGCATTGCAAAAAGCACTGCCAAAGGAATTAACTCAAAATCGACGGAGAGTGCAACACTCACGAACTGGAGAGATACCCCAGGGCTAACCCATTCGAAGGCGTTTATAACCAATCCTTCAATGAACGCCTCTGCTCAGATCTGAGAATGGAGTAGGAAAGATCTACGCATTTTCACTGAACTGATGACAGAACACTGCCGTCTGGGCAACCACACGAGAAGTATAGGTCTGCAACAAACATCGGACTGTCGATTCTGCAGCGTGGAGAATGAGTTCGCAGAGCACATTTTATGTACCTGCTCCGCTCTGGAAAGAACCAGGTTCCAGATCTTCGGATTTACCCGACTGGAGTCTACTGACTTCAAAGAAGTCTCACCCAATTCAACCATGACCTTTATCAAAAGGTGTGGCTTGTACGGTGAACTATAAGTTAGTCATGAGCCACAATAGACCCATCGCAGTGGAAGGCGATGAGATCATCCCACTCATTTTTAACCTAACCTAACCTACTATATAAAACAATATAAATATACATGGTGGAACAAAACTACAACATATAACCGACATATTTGATTCGGAACATTCCAATTTGGCATTGTTCAAATAAAATAATTTAAAACTAGGAAGTATATCTCGTAGGTTTTTCTGTAACGCTACCGCTACTATCAATTGGGTTATTTTTATCAGGAGATACGACCAATCGTTTTCAAAAACACTATTATCCGTAGAAACTATTTCGATAGGGGAAAATTCTTTGAATTGGTCTTTACAGTTATCTTGATTGTATTTTTAAGACGAACCAACCTCACTTTGCCATCTGTTCCAGTAAGAAGTTCTATTACACGACCGAAAGGCCAATATAAACGTTTACAAGAACTAACTCTGCAACTGTCAGATGTCTTTTATTCTTTTGGTTATTCGTCTGATGCTTTAGTTCTACTAAATACTCTATACGGTACATTTTTCGCTAATCCCTAATTAGCTTTCTTGAATAATTGATTCTCATAGAAATATAAACCGCATCCACCTTGTCACAATCAAGCACACCTGTATCTTTAATTTCCTGTATAAACATTGCTCGTGTCAACGGTTCTAGATCTTCCATGGTCTCTGATAACGTACAAAATAGGGCGGGTTTTAATAACAGCTTCGCAGTCATACAAGATCGTCCACATCTTTTCTACATCTAAAGCCACTTCTCCTTATTTTAGCATTTTTATAAACCTTTCCCACCAACCACCTCACCATGAGATTGGGGCTGGGTTATATACCTCCATTGATGCAGTGGGCGTATATCAACCACCAAGGTCCACATAAGAGAAGATGAAGCTCCATCCTGCGACATCCCTTGTTAATTGAGATATATCTTGTTGTGTTAAAGATATTACTGTTAATGGTCCTTCTCGTATTCTAAAGCATGAATTTAACCTACGTCTATGCATATTTTCCTGTATGATTGAATTTGACGTGTACGAAGCAGTAATAATTGTTTGATATAGTGTTGTTAGGGTAACTTAAGAGCTCCTAGCAATTCTTTAACATATTCTAAACTTTTTGGCCTATCCAACTGCTTTTGTTTGGTCTTTTAATGGACAAATAAAAATCTATTTTTTTAATTCGCCGCCTATGCGTTCAATTGACCACAGAATTTCATAAAGTATCTATTTAAGTAGGTTTAAATGATTTTACTTTTTATAGCAATGATATTTTTTTAAATTAACATGCCTTTGTGAATGAAGGTACCGCGGTACCGCTAGAACGTTGTTATTATTGACGTAAATAAATATACCTAAATGAAATCGCCCACTTATCGAACTCTCTAAGGCTTATTAAACATTCATCAGCATCTTATTTTTTTGTTTATTTATGCATCAATAAAGATCAAATCAGGAAATCATTTTTTGATGATTGGTCGCACGTTAATTCATAAAATGTTATGTTAATTAAACTGTCAGCATTGCCTCTAGTTACATTATAAGGTTTTGCTTTTTAAATATACCAATGAACCTTATATATTTTATCAATCTGATCTTAAAAGTAAAAGTTTCTTTTTTTTTTAAATGACCGATACTACAACTTTTTTGCTACTTTGTCTAATCATTTTATTTATATTAATATCCATATATAGTATTTGTTGCTTTATATTATGAAATATTTCTAATGTTTTGATATTTCTTGTAACTGATCCGAAAATACTAGTTTCTTTTGTTAACTTATAGCCTGTAAGTTATAAGTATAAAAATAATGAATGTATTTTTATTTTCAGGATTCCATAGAAGAATTGGAGGAAATAGAAGAAGAGGAATCTAAATTTTGTACTTTACCACGTGGAGGAAATACGTTTACCATTCGTCAGGTCGTGTTCCACAAAGGACCAGACTTTAAACCGTTAGGTTTCAGTATAGTTGGTGGTAGAGATTCCCCAAAAGGAAGCATGGGCATTTATGTTAAAACTATTTTTCCTAATGGACAGGCAGCTGATAGTGGTACACTGAAGGAAGGTTAGTATCAGGACATAAATTTTAAATCGAAATCCGGTAAAAGATAAACATAAAAACGTTTTTTTCTTATTTTTAGGTGACGAAATTCTTGCAGTGAATAGCAAACCCCTTCACGGTTGTTCCCATAAAGAGGCCATCAACGTTTTCAAACAGATTCGTCAAGGATCAGTCCTTTTGCATATAGGTCGCAGAATCACCAAGAAACATCGAGACAAAAATTACTAATTGTTTTTTAAACCTACATCGAATATTTTATTTATTTTAAGGAATTGTAGCTAAATCTGCAGAACTCTGTTGGTTCCATAATTATTATATAGTCATTTTACCCCTTACATTATACCCATATTGAATATATATTTGAATGTACGCTTCTCCCAAAATGTAAAAATAACATTATGCTAATGATGTAATGCAGATTATAAAAATCCCTCGATATTTGAGCCACATGGAAACATTTTAACTTAATTTACCATCATCAGTCAATGCAGATTTAAAAAAGAGTGTGAATGGAGTTTGATTTTATACTATTTCGAATAGTAAAAATTTATAAAGCAAAATAGTGATGTAAATTTAAGATTACTCTTACATTTAGGAAAAAACTTTCACGTACTTATTTTTTAAGTATAGTAGAAAAATATATTTATTCTTTGCCATTCCTTGGAAATTGGCTGTAAATCATCTAATAAAATATATAGGTACATTTATTAATATTCCTTAACACGAATAAAATATTTGAAATGTTTACTAGTAACTGCCTTTTTAATTATTTTATAAATGAGTACCAAAGATATGAACGTTATCAGCAAATTTATGCTTTTGCATAATTTATCTTGAGTAACAATGTTCTACTTTTAATATTAATGGTTGTTTTATGTTTACTTTTTGTTTAAATATCTGTTTGCAATATTCTGTGAATAGTAACTATTTTATTTATATACCTTTTACATTACGAAATTAGCTAACTTTATAACATCACTCGTTTAATTGTATTGTCAATCTGTGCATCTTATTAATTAGTTGCTATATTATACTTTTGTTATCCAGTTAGTTGTAAAAAAATATGTGATAATATGTATCTTTACTACATATTTAATTATTTCTATATCGTAGTTTTATTATTTTTATACATTAGAATAATATTTTTAACTTGAGTTTTATTAATCCTAGTTTGAAAATTAAAAATTCACCGCTATGATTTAGGATTATCTAAGAAAATTTGTGAAAGAGAGTTCCAAAGTCATGTTGACCCTTTGATTTCTTCGGGGCTATTACTACTGTTTTTTTTTTCTCCTGGGCTCGTCTGACTATGTGTCTCCGAATAACACTGAAGCCTATTGGCTTATGGGGTTTTACCCCATGTTCATAGCACCCACTCTGTCACCTATGTACATTGTACAAGTTTGTACAGATCCTTGGGTGAGTGGGTTCTATACGTTGTTGGATCAACCTGGGGTTGTCCAAAAAAAGCCTGTCTTTTGCGATCTAGAGCTTCGCATTCGCACAGTATGTGTTTGGCCGTTTCTGGTTTCTTGTGACATAGTCGGCACATGAGTTCCCCATTGTACATGCCAATTTTGTTCAAGTTTCTTTTTACTGAGGCGTGCCCAGTCATGAACCCTTTTATCACTTTCAACTGGTTCCTATTCATTGAGAGTAGTTCTCCAGTTCTTTTGGGACATGCTCTGCCTATGAAGGCTTTTCCATGTGCCTGTTTTGGGGTGCTTCACCAATAGTTGATATGTTGTTCCCAAATCCAATCGTTTATGAAACCCTGGACTGCACTTTTTGGTACTCCTGGGTTTGTGTCTGGTTCAGGTGTTTCTTCTGACCTTGTTTGTGCAAGTTAGTCAGCCTTTTCGTTGCCTTCGATCCCTTGGTGACCTGGCACCCAAAACAGTTTTACTATATTTCGGTCTGCCAGTGTTCTTAGTTTTTCGATGCATTCCCATACCAGCCTTGTCACTTTCTGACTTGATATGGCCTTAAGTGCCGCTTGGCTGTCTGACATTATTTGAATATGCTGATTTTCGACAGCTCTTTCATTGTTCGTTTTTGCACATTGCAAAATTGCGTATCCCTCGGCCTGAAATACCGAGGAATGTATTCCTATAGCATAGCTATGGTTAGTATCAGGGTTTTTGGAGAATACTCCTGCCTCAGTGCCTTCCGCAGTCTTAGACCCGTCTGTATACCAGGTTTGTTCCTGTCGTTGGGCATTCGGCTCCCTTATGGTGATCTCCGCTCTTTCCTGTATTAAATCCTCAAATGGAGTATTAAAAGTACCTCTTGGTTATGTGGTCTGATCTCATGTCTAGCACGTCTCCTGTCACTAACCTTGAGATACTCATGTGACCTGGTCTAATGTCAAGATTTCCCAGTGTATTCCCTAATCTGTAAGCACCTAATCTTGCCTCCCCTTGTATCACATAGTGAATATGTGGGAGTCCTATTAGTGCTTCCATTGCAGCAGTGGGGGTTGTTTTCATTGCCCCCGTTATTCTGAGGCAGGCAAGTCTTTGTACCTTGCTTAGCCTCGTTATTGCTTTCCTTTGCTGTGTCTTTGGTCACCACACCAAAGCTGCGTTTGTTATTATCGATTTCGCCACCATGTTATGAAGCCAATATACCATGTGTATGGTTTTATCCCCCATTTTTTTCCGAAGGATCGCCTTGCCATCATTAATAGGTTTCCGCTCTCCTTGTGGTTTTTTCTAGATGCTGGTTCCAGGTAAGTCTCAAGTCAATCATAACCCCGAGATATTTTACTTCTCCCTTAAGCTGGATGCTTGCACCTCTTAGGTTTAGCGGCTCTAGTCCCTCCAATTTCCTCCTGTGGGTGAATGCAATTATGTCAGATTTGTTTGGGCTAATGTTTAGTCCTTCCGCCTCTGTCCATTTTGTTACTTTATTTAGAGCCTCTGGCATTCGATCTCTTACTATAGTGTTGTATTTTCCCTGTGCCATGATCACTAGATCATCGGCATATCCCAGAGTTCTATGTCCCTCATCTTTGAGAGCCCTAAGCAGCCCGTCCACTACAAGGTTCCACAGGAGTGTACTCCACCCTGCGGACATCCTCTCGCTACCCGTGCCGCTATTGTCTCTCCCATAAGGGTTGTGTGTATAGTTCTCTCCCTTAGTCGATCCAGGACACGCATGTGTCCTCGATTCCTCTGTGTTTGAGAGATTTAATGATCGATTTAACGGAGGTATTGTCAAATGCACCCTCGATATCCAAGAATGCTCCCAGCATTACCTCCTTGTTTTCCAGTGTGTTCTCCACCCTTTTTATTAATTGATGGAGAGCTATTTCAGTTGATTTCCCTGCACTATAGGTCTTGGTATATTGGCCTCTGAACCTGTTTTGTTACTCATCATTTGTTTAACTTAGTCCAGCACTGAGTTAGTACTTCTCGATAGTTCTGTACATTCAGATGTTAAATCATCGATAGGGGTTTGAATTTGGTTCTTGGGAGCAATAAGATTTTTTGGTAACCCATCATATAGAAGGTCCCACCGGGTGGGTTTTAGAATATGCTCTTGCGGAACTCCACAGATTATTATAATGTCATCCGTATTGTTTTATTTGAGGCAATCCAGCTCCTAGACGACACAAACCGAGTAAGAATACTCAATAGAACTGAACCGTTTTGAGTTAATCTAATGATCGTTGGGCTTGTCGCTGTGATGGCAACTAGCGCTTTATATATGTACCTATTTTTGCATTACGGCTTGATTTTTAAGGCTTTAAGTCACTTACAAAATAAAAATATTTCGAAAAAATTTATGAACTATTGAAATCGATTAATTTCCACCTTTTTGTTTCTCTTAGCCAAAACACATTTGCATTTTAAAGATGTGATTTAAAATTATATGAACTCTTGAAAATCAAGAACATATGAGATGGGCAAGTGACTGTCCCAGAACGCAAGGATAGCATCAATTAATGATTGATCGCCCACAAACCATGCCTTTGAAAATTTAGCCAACATGGTCATCACCCTATCAATCGCGGTAAAGAGTTATTATTCCCAGGCAGTTGATTGTTTGTTGGACACTTAACTAATTCAATTAACATAGTAGAATTCATTTAACATTAAGTAAAATTGTTATACAGTGTTATAGTATCAATGTTGGCAGTCACCGGTAGAGCCACCAGTCGGTATGGCGCTACCGACCTTTCAATTAAAATAACTAGTTTCCTCTTTATATTTCGGGATGACCCTGTTGATAACCCCGGTAATTTACCGACCCTTCGTCTAGTCTAAATAAAAACTATTATAGATTTTTCGCCAACAAAAAGTTTGACAATTTGCATAATAGCAGATTGACGAAGTATTATTTTCACATGAATATTCCAAGTTTGTAATTACATTCTGAATTCGATCACTGAAAGAACTAGGAACTTGAAAAATGAGTAAAATTAGAACCGGGCCAACTTCAGAACTCAGTTGAACGAAGACCAAAGAAAAAAAACACGCAAGGCGCTGTGCTCGGCTACGGGCTACACGGCTGGCTTTTACAAGTCTATAATAATTCCTGAGTCGTGGCTTCAGACACAAAATGGAACGAGGTGGAAATGTAACGAAGAGGAGTCAGAAGCTGGAAATCCTACTGTAGTCTCATTCGTTTGCTGCGATGAGTTTTTAATCAAATTTTCTTGAAGCCTTAGACCGGGGCCGTCCAGATCATCGGCGATAGATTACGATAAATGTCTTCTGATACATTCTAACAATCCACTTACCAAATCAAGGAAAATATGAACATACAGGGTATAATACAAAACACATGCGGTTAATTGAAAGTGTGGGTATTAATAATGATTTATAAAAATATGGTTTTCTAAAATTAGTGGTATTTATCCCACAAGGTAATAAACAAAGTTTAAAAATGTATATACTGGGGTGGATGCAATAAAGACAACAAAACATAAAATAATTGAAGGATAATAATTGAAACCTATTTAATACTGCTCCAGTTGTTTTTATTCCAATTGCACTAGGTCAGAATTAAAATGAAAATTGTAAATATTTATAAAATGCAAATACCTAAATGGATTTTTAATATTTGCATTCCCCATTCAAAAACCAATCGCGCATTCATGCAAACTATTTAATAAAATTTTAATTAACCGTTCCTGTTTTAAATATCTGTTATTTTGTATTTTTAGTTTAATAAATATTTTTCATCATTTTTTTCTTTCCTAAATTTATAGACTGAGAGCTGGCCGTATAAAATCGAATGGTATTATAGTAAATTAAAAATATATTTAAATGTAATTAAATTTTGGACAAATAAAGAGAAACATCCATCGATGAACAATTTTACGTTGAATTTCACAGGTCACATGACATAAATAATAGTATGCAATGATGGTGGGTAAGGTTTTCCGAGTTTTCTTCACATGTAAATCAAATGACACCACAAATTTTTTTGGTAAAATTACGGTGCATTATGTTTTAATATGGATAATTAGTAACGTTCCGTTTTCTAGCATTAATCATTCAAGATTTTGTTGTCTGTCTCTTTTTAACGTATGGCTAACCCAATTCCGATGTCCTCGAATCTCAGATGGCAATGAGTTTTGCTAATCTAGTACAATTGTACTGGCTCTAGTACATCCTAAAGGTAACAGGTACGCTAGAAACGAAATTCAGTACATCGTCCGCTATCGTTCAGTGTAATTAATATAAGTTGAACTAGTAAAAGAAAGTAAAGACCTAATAAATCCTAAACAATTGATATTATTCCTAAGGCAACCAGAGAGGAAACCGATCCTAGTACATTTTTATGAAATCTGGTACAATTATTTATACCAATCTAGTACTAAACTAAAAAATATTCTGGCAATGTCATATTGTCAATTGTCATTGTTGTTTCCTGTTTCCTCCATCTTCATGATTCTCGTGACAGTCGTGCATTTTTAAATTGTACTTAAGATGTTTTAGAAAAAGGTAAAACATAGAATGTGGCAAAATAATAAAGTATATTAAACCAAATTTGGCATTTTACAGATGTATTGCATTGTTGACTTTTCATATATC